GTTGTTATTAACCACCCATCTTTCGTCCCAGGTCCTAAGTAAGTCCTTTGGTTAGGCAGTATTGGATACATAGGGGTTTTTCGGAACGGGTATGTGTGAACGCATTGTATGTGAAAACATGATAAGTTTAGACAATATATTAAGCTCACTATAAGTTATTTTACGAAAAGGGAAACATGAGTCGATTATTTAGAAGTAACTCTTCTGTCAACTCTAGGTCAATGACACTACCCTCTATACCTAATCAAGGTTTAGTAATTAATGAAGAAGATGTAGAAATACAAAATGATAAAATTGATGTGAGTTGGAATATACCACAATTACCAATTAAAGAAATATATAAAACTACTTTTATGCAATCTACATTTCATGTTAATCTCTATGTCAAAACCTTAGAACAAGCTTATGCTTTAGAAAAACCCAAGGAAGCATGTCAATTACTTGATACTAATACTATTAAACATCATTTAAAAACTGGTCATAATTTTATTCACTTAGGATTAATTTAAGTTGGAATCAAACTATTAACTCAACAAGGTAAAAATACTTCTGTTTTATTATGTTTACGAGATGCTCGTTTTCTTGATTATAATGATAGTTTAATGGGTATGATGGAAACTGGTCTTCATAGAGGACATGTCCATTTTAATTGTTTTCCTAACTTTACACTTAGTCTTAGAGATCCACATATATTAGATGCTTTAACTTTGAATATCCAGTTAAATGGTTCTTTTACAATTATGAAAGAAAAACTTCATAATATTGCTTTAATTTATCGTGTTTATTACAAATGTATTAAAACTAATTTAAATGTTCAAGCTTTACACAAAAGCCCAAAAGACAAAACTTTACTAATTCAAAGTAGTAGTAATGATACTAATATAAATATTCCTAAAATGATTGAATGGAAAGATATTACCCTCCCAGACTAATGGGTTACAGTCAATGAAAATTACAAATATAATAAAAAACAATCCACTAGTCAAGACATCCAAAACATTCAACAATTTACTGATGGCTCAGTTAGAATTAAATTTAATAGATCTACTCAATCCTCTAGACATAGTACTTCTAGTATACCAACTGACACTAAAACAGAAGATGAAATACTTAATACACCTTTATTCAGAAAAAATAGTCAAATTCATATTGGTCAAACTTTACATAACAAAATGAAAAGAGTGAATGATTCTGCAACTTCCCAGATTAGTAAACCTGTCTACTCAAGTTATACACATCTTCTTGAAGAAGATACTGTCTCACAGGATTCACCAACACAAACTGACTTTGAAGTTATACCTCCAATAAACCCCCAATTATTAACTATTTGTAAATCTTTTGCTCCTGACTTAGATACATTACATACTAAATTTAAATCTAAAAATAAAAAAGGCAAACGCCACTCTTACCAACTTAAATATGATCCTCATCAACAATCCAAAATTACTCATAAATGGTATAAATTCATGACTGAACATAATATAGAAGTTCCTTTCTTTGAATATTTGGAAAATTATTACAAAAAGTCAATACAATTACAAAAACTAAATGGAAAACTTCTTCTAATACTTCTATTAGTTCTAGTCACCCTCCATTAGAAACTATTATCATAGAACACCAAGGATCTAGTATTAAAGCTTCTCCCTTTAAGATAGCTGGTAATGAACCTGAATTAAAGAAAGTCATTGAACAAAATAATTATACTAACCAATGCCTAAAAACAATTGGAAAATAGTTAGATAAAATAAAAACAAATTTAGATGATTATACTCATTATTCTACAAAACAACCTTTAGAAAAACCTTTACTTAATCTACCTAGTCAACGCTTCAAAAGAAATAGTTTGGTTACTCAGGATAGTTCTACTATTAAAATCATAGAACAATTATTCACTAAATTAGCCTCTCCTTCAAATGAAAAAGACGCTTCTCCCTCAACTAAAAAAGGTCTTACTGTATTAAACCAACAACCCACTCTTGATATTATTTCTCATCAATTAGAAACCAACACATCTGACAATAATATTCATCTTTTAGCTCAACAATTTCAATCTTCTAATCTTAATCGAATTACTTATCCTAAAGTAAATCCTATAACTCTTACAAAAAATTGGTACTCTAGGCCTACTCCCCCTGATCTTCAATATGAAGAAACTAATCTTAATAATCAATTTTTTGTTTCTGCTAAAAAACTCTACGAATGGAATATTGATGGTTTTAGCGAAAATCAAATCCTTCAAAAATTAAACCATTTATCTATGGTTGCCAATAGTTATCTTAGTAATTACCCAGATTATACTCAACCCGAAATTGTTTCATTAATAACCTCTGGTTTTACTGGTATGTTAAAATCTTTGTGGGAAAAATATCTCACTGAAGATCAAAGAGAATCTATTTTACATGAGTCAAAAAAATGAAAATGATTTACCTATATTTGATGAAACAATTGGCTATTATAAACCTGATGGTATCAATATCCTAATTTATACTATAGTCAGACATTTTATTGGCACACCTACTAATATATTCTAGAATACATGATCAACTTAGTAACCTTACTTGTCCCACATTAAGTGATTTCAGATGGTATAAAGATGTCTTTACATCCAGAGTAATGCTACGCAAAGATTGTACTAAATCATTTTGGAAAGAAAAATTTATTAATGGTCTACCTAGCCTTTTTGCTCATAAGATCAGAGATGTTCTTAGTCAACCTACTGGAATAATTGAATATGATAATTTAACCTATGGTGATATAATCAGTACAATCCAAAAAGAAGGATTAAAAATGTGTATCGATCTAAAACTTAGCCAAAAAACTGCTAAAGATAAACATAGAGCTAAGTATGAACTAGGAAATTTCTGTGAACAATATGGCCTACCTCCTATCGCACCCTCTAAGAGAAAGTCTCAAGTATTTTTTATTTTGATATTGAATATATACCTGGTTGTCAAAATTCTATTCCTGATTTCCTTACCAGAGAATTTTTACAAGGGGGATAAGGGATGGCAACTCCTTTTATTTCCTACCATAAATCTAAAGTTACCCATTACCAAAACCTCATTCACCACACTACTCACCATATTGCTTGCCTCAAATTAGCCAAAAAACCTACTAAACGTGCTCAATTTATTCGATTTCACACCATTTGCAGTCGCCGTAATCTCTTGGCTCACTATATTAACTGTGCTGATTATCATATGAGCAAATTAGACATTCTTAGTGGATGCTAATTTTAGTCCACCTATTTTATTATAGATGTCTGCTCAGAGAGCTTTGAGACCTTCTAGTAAGGCTCTTGTTCCTTCTAGTCAACTAGTTCCTCCTTTGGAATTAGTCACCAGATATCATCATGCTGAATTAGTCAATCGTTACCAAGTTCTTGGTAACATACCTAAACCTAGTTATACCTCTGCATTGGCTACTGATCCATTCGCCTCTTCTTCTCAGTCTGTTACTCGTTACCCTCCTAACCCTATTAAATCAGCTCGTTCTGATTATGTTAAATCTCATACAACTAATCTCTTTTTCAAAGAACCCAGTCACAAAAATACCGATAATGTTCTTGACCTAGCCAAATCCTATTTTCCTCCTGGATGGCATTTTGTTCCTCTTCATCCGGAAAAATCAATCACATATTACAAAGACATCCTTTTCAATTATCAATCCATTGTTATTAAGCATATTTATGATCGAACTTACACTAGTAAAATTGTGTACCATGCATTATATATTCACAATATAGTCTCTTTGAATGAATGGGGATCTCCTTTCCAACTCCGAGACTTACCTGGTCATGAAATCCAATATAGTTATTATGACTATATTGATGCTTGGTTTAAGGTCCTCCTGTATCAAAATGAGTCAAACAGTCATTCCTGGTTCCTCCAATTTGATCATAAATTTAAGTCAAAACTCCCCACTTGGTTTCTGCATTGGTGGTCACAATATGGGGCTATTAATGATATCTTCCCCTCTATCATGATTGAGCAAGTTAACTACTTTTCTATTGTTTTCTCATTTAGCCCACAACAAAAGAAATTCCCTCCATTGCTCATTTTTATCTCCAAATATAAAATTCCCTGGATATTTAAATGGTAATATGCTATTTCTAATGACATAATCTTTCGCCAACACTTTGTTAAATTGTGGGATAATTTCAAAATTCCACGGATCATTGAACAAGTCCAAGTAGAATTTCCAGTCAATATTCATGCTCCAACACCTGCTATAGTTAAAGCTCAGCATAACTCAACTGCTCCATTAACACAAGGAAGCTCACTTCCTCCAGTCAATCTTGGAAGCCCAACATCTAGTTCTTCCAAGCCCAAGTCAGCAAAGCACATTCAAATGAGTCATGAATTAGTTGAAATGTGCAAAAAAGAAATTAATGAATTATTGCAAAATAAAATTATTAGTTATAGCAAGCCACCATGGTCTTGTCCTGCCTTATGTAAATAATATATTTATTATATAATTTAAATAAAGATAAACGAATCGAGCCCTTAACAAGCCGAACCGAGCTTGTTCGTGAACAACTCGGTTCATTTACAGCCCTACTTGTACTTTTTTATAAAAAAAAATTGTATTTATTCTTAGCACATTAAAGTTTTATTAGCAGGTTTTAACCAAATCCTCCTAAGCCCTCGTTTGGCATATTGGGTAAGGGGTTTTTTGGTTAAAATAGTCACAAAAAAATAAAATATCATATTTAAATTATAATCATTTCATTTTTTTCTCTTACAAAAGTCAAAAAAATCAAAAAAACTTAGCCAAAATGAGGTTTTGAGCCAAAAATTAAAATATCATTATAAATTGTCACATTATTTTATTCACTTTTCTGTAATCTTTTTATAAAAAAAATTTAAAAATTACTAAAATATATTATTTTCAAACGAAATCTAAAATAAATAAATAAATAAATAAAAATCCACCCATCTCTCAAACAAAGCCTAAAATAAAATGTGGTCACATAGTAAAAAATTGAGGCGCCCGTATCAATGCCCAGCTGGCGAACGATACACACAGAAATCACAAAAAAAAGACGACCTTTTTCTTGCCCCTTCCAATTCCCACTCTCTCTCTCTTTCTCTCTCCGATTTCGAATCTTTGAGGCTTGCAATCTGAGACTCGAATCCATAACACGTACCTCTGTAAGTTCTCTCTCTCTCTTTTCTCTAACTAATATTTACAATCTCTGTTTCTCTTCACGATCCAACCTAAGATTTTCGTTTTTTGTTTTTTTGTTTTTTTTTTTAAAAAAAAATTGTGGGGTTTAATTATCATTTCATGGTTTTCCTTTCGAACTTTCAATTTTCCGTCAAACTTCAGTTTTTTCGACAATCGGAATTCGATTTTGTCTGTGATTCGCACGCCTTGTAACGATCAGATCATAGAGAATCGGAATTTCATTGAATTACCTCAGATTCCCCGATTTGAAGTGATGGAATTTTTATTAGGCTCCGTTTGTTTCCATGGAAAATAGTTCTAAACTGAACTTTCTGAGAAATTTTATATTCCTGTGTATGTATTCTTTATCACCGTGAGCTTCAAATTTTTTATTTATTTATTTATTTTTCATTTTTTGTGGAAACAGAAGGGCCTTAAGATCCAAGTAGTGTCTTTTATTTCTCGGATTTTAATTTCTTACAAGATTATTTATATATTTGATATTTATATTTTTCGGTTGATGTTAGTTTTTTTGTTTCAGTGTGTTGGAGTTTTGATGAACTAGAAGGTTCTTTGTAAGGGCTGTAATTGAAGGAATTGTAGAGAATGGCGTGCATGGCTTGTAGGGGTTGTTGGGAATGCTTATTGAAGATTTTGAACTTCTTGATGACTCTTACGGGTCTGGCTATTGTGGCTTATGGGGTCTACTTGTTTGTGATGTTTGAAAAGTCATCTTCTAGTGATATCGCTCCCACCAGTGCAGATATGGTACAGCTTGGTCGGCCGATGCTCATGGCTGTTTCTCTGTCAAGCAGCTTTTGGGATAGCCTCCCGAAAGCTTGGTATGGCCCCCCACTTTGCTAATTGTGTTTGTGCTTTTGTGTGTTGAGAAGACTTGTTTTATATCTCATTGTCTGAATTTGATTTCAGTTGAACTTAATTTTTCCCATTGGTAATGATACCTTTATAGTTGCATTGAGCTCTTTATGCTACATCTGGTCTCTAGAAAAGGTGGTGAAATAAAATATAAAAAAAAATTGGATAGTAAATTAATTATGTTTTCAGGGTAGTGACCTCTACCCACATGATCTTGATAGAAACATTTGATTTCGTTGGTATCAGTTTTGGCTTTTTCAAAAACCAATTAAGAAATGAAACACGAGATTTAAAAGTTGTTTAGTATGTGTTATGTTGAGAAATGGCATATAATATTTTTGATATTTACCATGGTTGTACCTGGGATTATAGGAGAACCACTATCACTACTGAATGTGTTGCATCCCTTTTTTTTTTGGTTTGTTTTCTCTACTTGAATTCATAGTGCTCGTATTTTTTCTATCCTGCTATGTTGTTGTCCTTTCACTAGTTCTAAGAAGTGTAGTGTAGTTCATAGTTGTCAACAGCAAGCTGAGGTGGTATGGCACATGTTGGATAGATTTCTTAGAGCATTTAAATAAATCAAATAGTAATGCAAGTTTGCCATCAAGGGATTGATTTAACCTCGTATAACCTCGAAGAAAAATAAAAGAAAAATGAAAAGGTGGATTGATTTAATGTATCCTTTCTTTGGTTCAGACAAATGAAAATTTTGGAACCTTTGTGATGCAAAAATTTTATATTGATGAGGAATTTCAGGTTTTTAATTTAGTTTCTTTACCATCCTTATGTGATGCACACTTGTTGGTTATACATGAGGCTCTTATTATGCAGTAATTATTTAAGGAATTTTAAATTATTTTTGTGAATTTTGTATGGCCAGAATCATGATATAAACTAGTTAAGGAATTGAGTAATCTTAATGATTTTTGTGGCTAGATTCATGATACACATTGTTTGAGGTTATGCTTGTGATATTTTTATATTCTTTTTTGGTCTATATGCACATACACATTGTACTCTCATCAATCTTTTATTTAACAGAAATTTGAAATGTGAACTAATTTCCAGTGTGGTCATGTTTTTGCAGGTTCATATATTTATTTATTGGTGTTGGCGTGGTTCTCTTTGTAATATCTTGTTTCGGTTGTATTGGAGCAGCAACACGGAATGGATGCTGCCTGACTTGTGTATCCTAAATTTCTCATCACTTGTGCATTCCACATCTAGTAAATTACATATTTTCTATGTGATGGGGGACCTACACGGCTACACCACAGCCATTGATATGATGGTGATGATGTCATGTTAATATCTGGCAAGATGACTGCCCCGTCATCATACAACTCAGTAGCTGACAGCGTGCTTGTTATTTTCATTTTAGCTGTTACCATGATGCTATTGTCCTGAACATAAAATCAGTTTTATACATTTCATGTTTGTCAAGCATACCTAGGTTAGTTTGTTCCACTGATGAAGTCATAAGGAACCTTTTAAGATTGACAAATAAATTTTGTGTTGTGGGTGAATTGGTGCATGCCTATCCATTTTCCTTTTCTTTTTTCTTTATTTATTGTTTTTTATGACGACAATGATGCAATAGTAAATTAGTAATACTTAATATTCATTAAGCATGCCTGTGTTAAATTACTCTAGTAATGAAATTTGGGATCCTGCTAGATTGTTGAATCTTAGGTGCTGTGGGTTAACATGCATGCATATTGTTCTCTTTGTGGATGATGGTGAATGGATTCCTTAAGTCAAGACAGTATGCGGTATTAATGATCTTGCTGATTTTGGTAGAACTGGCATGTGCAGCTTTTATCTTCTTTGACAAAAGCTGGGAAGACGTGAGTGTTATTCTAACTGACCTTTTGAGTTTCAAGATGGTACTTGGGTATCTGATTAGTTGTGTATTATTTGTTTCAGGACATTCCAACTGATAAAACTGGGGACTTTGATATGATATATGAGTTTCTGGACGACAATTGGGAACTTTTCAGATGGGTTGCTCTTGGGATTGTTATTTTCCAGGTAAACATGGGAAGATGTCTTTTGCTTTTGAAACTTGACATTAATTTGTTTTTTTCTTGTATCCGAGTGGCAGATGCATTCATTTTTTTTGCAAGTATTCCACTTTTCTCATCTCTGATTGCTTGAAATATGACAAATCATATTTATGGAGAATTTGTTGGAATTTCCTGCCAATACAATGGATAGATAAATGACTGAAAACAAACAACCATACTGGTGGTTGCTGTTGTTGTAACTGTTGCTGAATTGTCTTGAGCATTTATTTATTTTATTTTTAAATCATGGTTCTTCACAGTAAGGTGGTTTCAAGCTCCTGAGCAATCTGTTTACTGTGTTGAATTTGCCTTTTTCACTCTCAACAAGTTGCTGCAATTGGATAGTGTAGAATATGATTTTTCTTGCTCTATGTGGCATATAGACATTGGACAAAACACAATACAGGCACACTCACAGGCAAATCCTGAAAAAGTAATAGAGATATGGTAAGGTATCAATATATTTAGGTACTGTTATGCATATGCTATATGAAAAGTATGTAATTTAATTATTATCCAAATATTTCTACTTCAATTTGCATAATTTGGAAACCGAAGCATATTCAATTTGCCTTCTTCACTCTCACTTGCTTTTTTACCTTATTTTCTTTTAGTTACCATGTTATTTTTTTGATGGATTACTCCCTATGTCCAATTTCATTCGTCTTGTTTTCCTTTTTTGGAAGTCCCATTTTATGTATCTTTAGTTTGAAAAGGTTAGAAAAATTAATGGTCCCTTTCCCATATTACCCTTCTTTACATTTATGTTCAAATGCAATTGCAATTGACAAAGATATATTCAAACAAGACAAAGAACATTAGTGTAAATTTTTCATTCAAAGGTGCCTTTTTAAAACTTTGTGCATAGTCAACTAAGATACATAAAACGGGACAGTGTATATTTTATGTAGATCATGCGTGTGCTGTGTATTGTTTAAAAGTATTTCAAGACACATTTGGGTTGGCAAGTTGGATTCCCTAAAATGCTAACATTGTTCCTATTAAGAGATTCACCACACAGATCATGTTGGGAGTGTCTTCAAAGTGTTTGAAAATATGAAATCTCTCTCTCTCTCTCTCTCTCTCCAAATCAAGACACAACATTCAAGAAGTATTGTACCTATTTTGAGGCGTGTTTGAGAAGTGGGTTGTGACATGTCTAACATGGATATCTCTCCCCCGTAGAAGTGTTGTTCTACTTGGGTCTTGCATTAACTTTACTTAATAGAGGGTTACTATTTGATAACACCGAGTGCCAAATTGTGAAATTTATATTAGGGTCATTTACCAAAAAGAAAAAAGAAAAAATAACTTAAATAGAACTTTGCTTATTAAAAAAGGCCATTCATGCTCATTGGTTAGACGGTTATTTGTGTTGGATTTGACTGCAGTGGAAATCATATTGTGAAATTTAAATGGCTGTTTTTTCTTTATGGACTCATATTATTATCCAACAGTCTGTGATATGCTTTGTAGCATTAACCAAAAAGTGTTGGTGTCTATGAGACATTGAAAATATCAATTTGTTAGACATGCCAACCTCAGAAGAGAGTAAAAAATGTAGCACCAATTTTGGGGTTTTCCAAGGCACGTAAATGTAAACATGTAGCCACGTATGGAAAAAATTGCAATGATGCAGAGTCCTTTTCATGTTGCTCCAGATTCTCTCATTAATGGATTTGCATATAAGCTTCATTTGCTGAAATCCTAGTTTGGTATGGCAAAAAATGCAATGATGCAGAGTGCTTGTCATGTTGCTCCACATTATTTCATTAATGGATTTGCATGCGAGTTTCAGTTGCTGAAATCCTAGAATGACCTTATTTTATTAGCAAGTTCTAAAATTTATAAGATTGGACATGCTTTTTCTTAAAATTTTACTTATCTGACTGTATTGAAGAATAATAGTAAGTATGCTCATTTTGAGTTGTTTATGTTTGTTGGTCTGCTAATTCCTCTAGTTCTACTGGCTACCCATGTAATTGCAGGCTCTTCTATTCTTGTTAGCTCTTATTGTGAGGGCTGCTAACCGACCAGTAGAATATGACAGCGATGATGAGTATATTGGTGTCCCCAGACAACAAATCCGACAACCATTGATGAACAGGCCACCAGTTCCAACTACGGGTGTACCGGTTGCTGGTTCCCTTGATCAGCGCCCAGGCAGAAACGATGCTTGGAGTGCACGTATGAGAGAAAAGGTGCAATCTGTTTTGGTATACTATTAAGTTAAAAAAAATATTTGGGGTGCTTCATGTGGTAGTCTTTTGTAAGACATTTTTCAACAGCATGAGCTTTGTGGTATGTCAGGCAAAGGCCTACAAATTTTATTCATTGACCATCTTTGAGGATTAGAAAAAATACTATTAGTCCCACAAGTTTAGTGTAATTACACCGATCTCTCTTTTAATAAGCCTAAAGTGACTGGAACTAATGCAAGTGTTGTGTAGACAAAAGGATAAATAAGGGTAAACATACATTTTAGTGTAAAAGAGCCGACATTATTTTTTCATCCACATGACTAATGGACTACTAATGAAGAGGGAGATAAATGTTATGTGAATTAAAATTTTAGGGAAGTCCATGTAGTTATGCCAAATTTGTGGGGCTTTTCCGACTCTTAGAGCGGTTAATGTAATTTACCCAATTTATTAAGTGTTCTAGATAGACAGAACTTTTTGAATATCAATACCTGATTATGTCATGACTGTGCAGTTATGGTCTTTCCATGAATTCCATAATTGCTATATTAGTTGTAAGTTTGATAATTAATTCCCAATCGTTTGGGTAGGGATTCTTTTTCCCTCACTTTTTCTTTTTCCTCCACAAATCTGTACCGAAATCCTAGATCCAAGCACGGCCCTAATGAACACCCCTGATGTATTATACCAGTTACCATCCAAAGTGTATTCTATTTGTTTTACTGACACATGGATTATTCCTTTTTTTTTTGCATGTGAAAATCAGTATGGGCTTGATACTGCAGAGTTTACATACAATCCATCCGAGTCAAACAGGTACCCGCAAGCAGCAGCACAACCAGCAGAGGAGCGGGGTCGTTGTACTATCTTGTAATTGCCATCTTGGTTTTGCACAAATTTGAAATTGGGTCGGTGTCTGGAAACTGATTTTCATTGACTGGTAGATTGAATTTGTAAATTTAAGAAGACAAATACTCTTTCTTTTGTTGAGTTTGTGTACAAAACACAATTCTCATGAGCTTTACTCATTGCTTCCCCACTCAGTTTGTTTCTTCTCAAAATGACATCTTCCCTTTGAAATGCATTGTCATTTGGTTTGTACAATTAAATGCTAGATTCAGATTTGTTAATCAATTGAAGACGATTTTGGAATATGTACCGGGGAATTCAAGACTTGTGTAAAATGGTGCCTATATTTTTCAGATTGCCACCAAGGAGTCTTGTAACACCTCTTGGTATGTCAAATATTTAAAATTTAATAATTTCTTTCTGTTAGTTTATTATGTTAGTCATTGCCTGTTTGAATCGTTTTCGTAATTTGTTTAGCATACTATATTTGAAAAATCGTTTTTGGAATTTTATTAGAAGAACCCACATTTAATTGTTTTTGATTTTTTTTTTTCTTCACAAAAATAGAAGTGATGGGTGTTTAGAACTTTCATTGTTTTTGTTTTTCATAACACAAATAAACGAAAACGAAAAGGATGTTAAACATGGCTTGAAAACTTGTTGGGAAAAAAAATTAGATAAATGTTTAACCACATTACGGTGAATTTTGAGTTTATTCTAATTATTATCCTATGATAATCTCTTGGCGTGGGGACCAAGTATTAATTATCTCTTTCATTCCTTAATTCTATCCTATGAAATAAAGGTGATTTATTTTAACATATCTTACCGAAAAGCTATCATATTTTAAACCAAAATTCTAATCCATAGTTGGAAGTTATTATTATTACTACTACTACATGATATTAAGAATCGTCCATAAACTATGAAAAATTCTTGAACAAGAAATTGGTCCTCCAAAAAAAGAAATTTTAAGGCTCTGTTTGATTAGAAAGAAAATAAAAGTAAAAGAAAATGAAGTGAAAGAAAAGAAATAAAAAAGAAAATATATTTTCTTTTAAGCATTTGATTAAGATGAAAATTTTGTAAGAAAAAAAAAATTTAAAAGTTTAGTTATGGATAACTCACACAATCAATTTTTCTTGTGTTTTTTTGTATTTTTTTGCAAGAAATAAAAAATTAGTTACAATGCTAATATGAGTTGTATAAAAAAATTAATTTTCTTATACTTTCCACTACTTTCAAGCTAAACAAACTCATAGAAGTTAATTCTTTTTCTTTTTATTTTCTACCTATTTCATTATAAACAAACTGAGCCTAAATGAAAAAATAAGAGGATGAAAGTGATTCTCACAACAACCTTAAATCAACTTGCATTGAAGATCTTTTTCTTGAGAAAAAAAAAAAAAGAAACCAAAAAAGTTGCATTGCAACACACCAACTGAAAAGGATAATTACATAATACTAATAAGTTGGTTCCCCAAAAAAAAAGTTAAAGAAAAAAAATGAGCAAATAAAAAGAATTTTGCACTAGTGTGAATCACTCCTAATCATGTAAGATTCAAGTTATAAATATTACACAGTTCAATTCAGAAGATAAATCAATATATAGAAATCTTAAACCTTCATTTTTTCCCTCCGAATTTTCTTCTCTAAGGTTCCCCAAAAAAAAACGTTAATGCTGTGTTTGGTTGGGGTTTTTGGGGTGGGATTTGGAAAAGGAATGAGAAATGTAATCCTATTTATGTTTGGTTATAATAAAAAATATATGGGAAAAGAAATGGAGTGAGAAATAAATAAAGAAATAGGAGACCTTTTAGGATATCAATTCTATTTTATAACCAACACAACCAAACATAGTTGGGATTTGGAATTCTATTAATTCTTTCTCCTTTTCCTTTCATTTCCATTTCCCTTTCCATTTCCTTTCCCAAATCCTCCAACCAAACACAGCGTAAAGAAAAAAAATGAGAAGAAAAGTGATTTCACAATAGACTTGAATCAACTTGCATTGTGACACACCCAAACTAAAAAGGGAGCATTATCGAAAAGTAAATTGGTCCCCAAAAAAAAGGTGCAATTTCACTTACGAAAGGAAACACAAATTTGAAAAATGAAAGAGTTTAATTAAATAAAAGGTAAATTACACAAATCTCTCTTGACTTTTTGAGAAAAACATAATAAGATTTATAATTTTGATAAAATTACACTAATCTCCTTTCAATGAGGCTAAAAGAATTTGAAATAACACAGATAATTGTGAAATATAAAGTCAAATATAGTAAAATATACATTTAAGTGTAAAATATATAACTAATGAATTACGGATAAAAAATAAATTATGTATTATGTGAATTAAAACACTAAGAGAGTCAAATCTTAGGGAAGGTTAGTGTAATTTACCTATTTATTTTTAAAATTTTTTTGGAGGGATAATTACGTTGACCTCCCTGAGGTATAAAGAAAATAGGAAAATTTATCTATAAATCCCATATGAAGAAATGTTGAATCATTTAATTCTAAGACCCCGTTTGTTTTGGATTATAGGGAGGGGATTGGGATTCATAGTGAGGTGGGAGCCACTAATATTATATTTATTTTGAGAGATGGAGAGGGGATTTGTAATTCTCTCTGAACTACGAATCCCCTTAAGGAGGGGATTAGGATAGGCATATGGAACTTGGTATTAGAAATTAGTCTGTCGGGCCTTTTTTTTTTAAATTCTTTTTTATTTTTATTTTTATTTTTTACATGTTGGGCATTTTTTTAAGAACATTAATGTTTAATTTTTTTGTATTTTTTGTTAAGTAAAAATCATTGTTTTATTTGTTTTATTTTATTTTTTTGGAAATCTTTTATTTTTTAAATTCTTTTTTATTTTTATTTTTATTTTTTACATGTTGGGCATTTTTTTAAAAACATTAATATTTAATGTTTTTGTATTTTTTTATTTGTTTTATTATTTTATATTTATTTCATATAAAAATAATTTAACAATCCTTAGACCAACAATTATCATCAAAATAAACACAATTTTACTTAATCCCCTCACTAATAATCCCCTCACTATTAATCTCCTCCATTCTACCTCTGAAAGCAAACGGGGCCTAAGAGTTTTCTTATGAACCAATTAATCTCTTTATTTTGAAAAGTTGTATTTATTTGATTTGATATCATTTGAGTTTAAGTGAATGTCCTTTTGTAATTCATTTTTTCAATTTTCTGATTTGTTTTTGGGATGGGAATGGAAATGTGAGGAGTAGAAAATTCTTTTTAGGGGGATTGGTGGCTAAAGTGTTAGTTGTTAAGCCTGGAAATCTATATTTCTATTAATGTAATTTTCTGGTGTTATATTGAATTGTTACATTAAAGTGCTACATTTGGAAAAAGTACACTAACAAGTGTTTGTGTGTTATATTGATTGGAATGTTACGTTTGAGAAAAATGTTATGTTGTTACGTTTAAAAAAAGTATACTAAAGAGTTATTTAGTGTGTTGTATTGGAGTATTATGTTTGGAAAAAGTGCAGTAAAGAGTTTTTGTGTGTTATATTGATTGGAATGTTACGTTTGTAAAAAGCCTATTAAAGAATTTTTTTGAAATGTTACATTATTACGTTTGAGAAAAATGCACTAAGAAATTTTTTAATGTGTTACATTAGAGTGTTATGTTTGAAAAAAGTACAATAAGGAGATTTTGTGAAATATTACATTGTTACATTTGAGAAAAGTACACTAAGGATAGAGGTGTAAAATTGGTCCGTGTGCTGCCCGAAACCCATTTTGCGACCTGAGTGAGCCTGGTCCAATTAGGCCTGGGCTTGAGCCCAGCCTGAGACCCTAGGCCTAGGCTTGGGTCGTGTGTTCTAAAGCCTTTCTCAGCCTGGCCCATCGGTCCACTCAAAGCCCAATCAGAGGCCCAGGCCCCTCGAGACCTGGTGTCATTTTTGTTGAAAAATATTAAAAAAATGGTTAGGCTCGGCTCAGACCCATTCCAAGCTCGAGTCTAGGCCTAGACCTACTTGAGACCCGAATACCCCTAGGCCTAGGCCTAGGCATAGTTTTTTTCCCATGGGCCAACCAACACGAATTCTGGCTGCGTAGCCTGACATGGGCTAGCACCGGGCCTATGCTCGGGCCAAATTTACACTCCAAACTACGTTTGAGAAAAGTACACTAAAGAATTTTTAGTGTGTTACATTGAAGTATTATATTTTCGGAGTATTACATTGGAATGTTAAGTTTGAAAAAAGTACACTAAATAGTTTTTTTTAAGGGCATATTACAATAACAATCCCTATAGTTTGAAACTTGTGTCACTTTAGTTACTAATTTTTTAATTGTAATACATTTAATCCTAAATTTTGAATCCTATTCAAAATAAAGACAATCAAAGATATTTTTTTTTATGAATGGTCCATTTTAAGGGTAAAGTTGTCATACAACTTATTTTGTGTTGATTAACTTATATGTTATTTAAAATGTAATGGCCTTTTTTTTAATGAATAATACTGGCATTTTCTTGGTTATAAAGTTATGTTTTGTTTGGTTTGGTTTGGTTTTCATAATCTTTTTTCCAGAAATTTTTTTTAAGAAATTTAAAATTAAATTGGTAAAAAAATAAGTTTAAAAACACATTATTTTTATATAATTTTATCTTTTGGGAAGGTAGAAATAAGTTTGTAAAATAAATTTTTTTATATTTATTTTCTTTAAATTAGTTTCTATTTTTTCAAAAGCCAAACATGACAACAACTTTGATACCATTATTAAATCAATCCATTAAATTAAAAAATTCAAAACTAAAAATATTTCATATGTTAAACATCAATCACACATTAAAAGCTTAATAACTATTTATTATATGATAATTATTTAAAAATATCTGCTAACAAAAAAAATAACCATCTATTACATAATAACTATCCAAAAATATCAACAAAAACAACCACTCATTACATAATTATCATCCAAACACATAATAAAAATTAATTTGATAAAATAAAAAAAAAACATAAAAATGTAAAAAAATTATCATTTTTATATAATTTTATCTTTGGTGGATAGAAATAATTTTTAAAAATTCAAAAAAAATTTCACATTTATTTTTGTCAAACTAGTTTATATTTTATCCAATTGACAATTTTGCTCTTGAAATTGAGCATTTTTCATTTGCAAAGTAAATGATGTCTTCAATTGTTCTTATTTGAAATAAAATTCAAAATTATAGTCAAATGTATCACAATTGAAAAGTCAGGAACTAAAGTGACACAAGTTCCAAAATTTAGGAACTGTTAGTATAATTCGCCCTTTTTTTAAAGTGTTATGTTTAGTAATTTTAATATTATGAGAAA